AAGAGTTCGTTGACTGGGAGGCTGGACGGCGCGCAATCCAGTCCAGTGGCCAATCCACATGTCTACAAGTGCCTCACCAGACAAGTACGCATTCTCCACCATCACCCCACACCAAATCATTCATCCACACCTCAGAATCAAGGAAGCAGCAGACGCACCGCGTAGCAGCCTCCTTTGACACACCAACCCTAAAGTCGAAATCCATCCAAACCATCTCTCAAGGCGTCGACATTCCTCGACTCCTTGAAAGATAGACTCTGAACTCTAGTCTAATCATGTCGAAGTGAGCATCGAGTGACTCCCTGTCGGCGTCGCAAGTGATGCCAGCGTGCGACATGATGACCTGGAGGCGTCGAGCGGCTTGTGGGCGCAGGAGAGGACTTCGCATGCAACCAGCAGTGCGCTAGCAACCGTTCGCAGCACCCAGTGGCGTCCTTTCAAGGCCCACACGTCAGACCGCTGACAGCTTTCCTCTTCCCAACCTCCTTCACCGCTTTGCAGGCCAGAAGAGACCGCCCAAGCGGGCGATGCGGGACTCAATGTTCCCGAGACGGAGATTGAGTCCAACTGGGACACAGTCACCGACAACTTCGATGACATGGAGCTCAAGCCTGAGCTTCTGCGCGGCATTTATGCATACGGGTGAGTCTTGATCTCGGCACGACCCGCGCGAATCTCGACAGGCACAGTGAAGTCTTTAGCAGAACATGTCGTCAGACTTGGCAGCAACAACTCCGCCTCTGTGCTAAGGCTTGAGCCGCCGTTGCGTGTTACGAGACGAAAGCGCTGACTCTGCCTTCCCGCTTCGCTACAGTTTCGAGCGCCCCTCGGCCATTCAAGCCCGCGCTGTTGTGCCCGTAATCAAGGGCCACGACGTCATTGCCCAGGCCCAGTCGGGTACCGGTAAAACGGCCACCTACTCGATTGCTATCCTTCAGCGCATCGACCCCAGCATCAAAGCTGTTCAAGCCCTGATCTTGGCGCCCACTCGTGAACTTGCCCAGCAGATCCAAAAGGTCGTCATCGCTCTCGGTGACTACATGAATGTCGACTGCCATGCCTGCATTGGTGGTACCAACGTCCGTGAGGATATGGCCAAGCTGCAGGACGGATGCCAAGTCGTCGTTGGTACGCCTGGTCGTGTCTACGACATGATCAACCGTCGCGCCTTCAAGACGGACAAGCTGAAGATGTTCTGCCTCGACGAGGCCGACGAGATGCTTTCTCGTGGTTTCAAGGACCAGATGTACGAGGTCTTCCAGCTCTTGCCGCAAGACACTCAGGTCAACCTTCTGTCCGCCACCATGCCAGATGACGTTTTGGAGGTCACCAAGAAGTTTATGCGTGACCCAGTGCGTATCCTGGTCAAGCGTGACGAACTGACGCTTGAAGGTATCAAGCAATTCTACATCGGTGTGGACAAAGAGGAGTGGAAGCTTGACACTCTGTGCGACTTGTACGAGACCGTCACCATCACACAAGCAGTCATCTTCTGCAACACCCGCCGCAAGGTCGACTGGCTCACCGACAAGCTCCACTCTCGCGAGTTCACCGTCTCCGCCATGCACGGTGACATGGAGCAAGGTCAGCGTGAGGTAATCATGCGCGAATTCCGATCAGGATCGTCGCGTGTCCTCATCACCACCGACTTGTTGGCTCGTGGTATCGATGTCCAGCAGGTGTCTCTAGTCATCAACTACGACCTGCCCTCCAACAGAGAGAACTACATCCACCGTATCGGCCGTGGCGGTCGTTTCGGTCGTAAGGGTGTTGCCATCAACTTTGTCACTTCCGACGACATCCGCATGCTCCGCGACATTGAACAATACTACAACACTGTCGTCGACGAGATGCCTCACGATGTCGCCGACTTGATCTAGGTCTGCATAGATTTTCCCCGCCGTCAGTTGTGCAGCGACTTGCGCAAACTCGAAGTCAGCCTACAGCTTGGGTCTTTGATTGGACATTGACTCTCTTCCACTTTGAATCTGAAACACGTCGTCTATTCTCACCGCCACAACCTTCAAACACAAACGCAACTACTCCCACATCACAATCTTCAAACAATCTTCCGACATGCTGACTACGAACCGGTCGAGGATTGGCAACCCGCGCGCAATCAGCGCTTCTCCATGTCATCGATGTGAGAGTTTACGACTCACGAGACGTCAGAGGACTCTGCAGCGCCCGCGGCATCCACCTTCGACTGTTCAGCCTTCTCGTGAAGAGAATTCGCAGACCATCGACCTCATCCTGCAATCCCCATTCAAGTTACCTGCCGAGCTCAAACGCAAGCAACTTCGCAGATACCACCCACCAAGAAGACGATCGAGCACAAGTGAGAAGAGAGGAGAGGGGTTTCAAATTAGAATCAATCGACAAAGAGCAGTTTTTTCGACTTTTGGGTTCAGAGCAAAGTCATTTTCTTTCTTGACGGCACATGGGCACTCCAGACCTTTTCCTACCAATCTTGACGTCACGACCATCCTCACATCCCCCTTACCCCACGAAACGCTTCATCATGAGCCTTGGCCTTTGCACTCTGTTCACGTACGCTTTGACTCAAAATGGCATGCAGCTCCGCTGCGCTCAGCTTTAAAAAATAGATATGGCTATTGATGGAGGTATTGTAATCATCATCGTTGTTTCTCTGAAAGCTTAGGACGATGGAAACATCGTTGCGTATAGTACAAATCTGATCCAAGCAGTCAGCTGAGACTGGCTGACTCGGGCATGCCTGCATAGCTGAGAGACGCTGGCTCGCCTAGATCAGGCGAGCATGGGCACATCGGGAATAGCCGCTAATTTGGGAGAAGCACCTTTCAAGGCACGTCCGCGATGGCGCGCCGGGCCATGCAACGTGTTGAGTTGAGCACTATAAAAGTCAGCGAGCTTCTGCACCTGTTTGCGTGTATCTGCTCTTTCTTGTTCTTGAGCTCGCAATTGCCAGCTGGGAGTGGAGGAGATGCGCTGCCAAGAAGTTGCTTTTGGACGCGCAGCTTTCACGGGCACGCCGGCGTCTTCGGGTACCAGACTGATCACGCGTGGTGAAGCAGCTTGCTCCAAAAGCCTGGCATACAGAGCTTTGCTCTCCCGAGCTGCATCCGCCACAGATGTTGGTCCCTTTCTGTTGGGAACTGTTCGTGGTGCCGGCAAGCCAGGCGTCTTCCAAGGCTTCTCTTTCTCGACGGTCCTAGCATCATCAAGCAAGCTTGCAGATGGTGCATAGACACGAGGTAGCGCTTCGAATTGTTGCAGAAGTCCAGCACCCTTCAGTCGGCAATTTTCGGTTCTCAGAATCGCGAGCGCTCCTCGCAAGGCTTCCACCTGATCTGCCAGATACGCTGTTTCGAACGTCCCCGAGGCACCGGACATGAAGCCGGAAGGCACGTTGGACTGAGCGGTCTTCTCTGCTGAGTCTGCTCCTGTTCCTGCAAAAGCGCCAGGCGCTGCGCTCGCGCCTCCCGGACCGCCAGACACTGCTTTGCTCGACTGCTGCTGTTTCAGAATATCGTTGGCGCGCTCTGCCGTCTCCAATTCTGACTGAAGGCTAGCGTTCATCTCTTGATAGACACGTGACTGGCGCTGTGCCTCCACGAGTGAGCTCTGAATAGTAGCGACATCATCGAGCTTTGTCTTGTACTTTTCGTTCTGCTTGTTGGTGCGCTCCACTTTGATATTGGCCTCTTCGAGCGCCGATTCGCGCGTCTTGAGCTGCCGCGACAGGTCTTTAAGATCTTCTTGTAGCTTCGCCAATGCTCGCTCGGCTTCAGCATCGTGATGCAACTCCGCTTCCGCTTTAATTTCTTCAACGCGCGTCATCCAAGGCAGAGAGCCAGACACTTTTGTCACGTTCTCCTGCTCGGTAGCTGCACTGAGCAGCAGACTGATCGTACTCGTTAAGTGTTCTGTGGATGCTAGCGGGGTCGCCCAGAGATTGACGTCGCTCTTTGCAAGACCTTCGCGCAACGCGTCGTTGAAAGCTGAGACAAAGTCCGACATGACGAAAGGTGTACGGGCCGCTCGCACCTCTGCAACCTGAGTCGTCGTGGACTGTGCGAGTTCTTTAGCGAACCGTACAAGCTGACTGCTGAGGAGACCGGTGGAAGGTAACGCGGTGATAGCCTCGATGCGAACCGCCTCATCATTGGCATATAGGCTACCTAGACGACGTAGAAGTTTACGCGCGGGCACCTTCGTGGACTTGACATTGTTTATGAGCTGCTGCAAAGGCGCAAACACGTCCTCGTCCAGCGACTTGCCTCCAAGCTCCCATCCGACGTTATCACCTTCGTTGTAGAGCGCAGCAAGCGTCTGCTTGGTGTAGCCCAGAGCCGCGTTCAGCGTGTCCAGGTCGAGATCGATCAGCTGAGCAGCTCCGACCTCTTTAGCTGCTAGATCCGCGTCGGTCTCTTCGCCAAGGGTGTAAGAGAACTCTTCGAAATCTTTGACATATCTGGCGAATTCGCGACCACACTCTGCCTCCTTCAGCTCTTCATGACGCAAAGCCTCAATGAAAGAATCGATGCGACGCTCGATCGATGCGTGCTCTCGATAGGTGCGGCCAGCCTTGAGGAAGGTTGGCACAGAGGCCAGTTGCAAAACGCCCGCGATCTGGCGAGAAAGCGCTGCAAAGTGCGCCAGGCTGTGACGCATCTCGCACACTCCGATGAGATGCTCTGGCACGACCGTGGCGAGCGCACCTGCAATGTCGTGATGACCCTCGACGATGGTCTTGACGAGCTCTGCTTTGTGGGCCATCCGGTTAAAGAAGAGAAGACTTGCGACCGCGTCGGCGTCGGCCTCGAAGTATGCAGCCGGTAGGTAGGGTCTGATCATATCGAGGTGGGACATGGCTTGCGTAGCTTCCAGCTTGCCCAGCTCGAGCTCGATGGTCTTGGCTTGCGACTTGAGCGCAGAGCTTTGCAGCTTCAGATTCAAGTTGAGCATGGCCTGACTTTGGGTCTGCAGCGTACGACCGCCGGCGCCATCGCTGACGAGTGTACCATCCTCTGCGACGGCCGCACTTTGCTGCTCTGCCTGCTCTGCACGCAACGTGTCAAGATCGCCTTGCAAATTCAGTACGAGCTCGCGGAATTGAGCAAAGGTGTTTTCGTGGTCGACAAGGCTAGCCTCCAGCATCTCGTTGCGCACGCGAAGATCCCGTACGTGCAGATCCTTCAGGTCCACCTCCTCTTGCAACTGTCGTTCCGTGTCGATGTGAGTCTCTTCCAGCTCGTCATTCAGCTCCTTGATCGCTTCGAGGTCTTCGATTGTCGCATGCATCTCTTCGATCTTCTCACCGAGCAACAAGTTGCGTTCTGTCAGCTGCTCCAGCATCTCTTCAGTGCTGAGGGCATCGTCAAGCTGTATTTTCAAGTCCTCGATGATTGCATCGGCGGTTTCGAGGCGTTGCGAGACCGTGTCGAATTGAGCTTGCAGGTCTGAAAGAGAATTGAGCTCCTTCTCGAGCTCAGCGATGCGGCGCTTCTGTTCGCTTTCTGTCTCGTTTGTGATGTCCCGAAGTCTGCCGAGCGCATCTCTGAGTCGGTCATTTTGCCGCTCGAGCTGGACGTAGCCTGGAAGGCGCTTGGCGTCCTGGACGCTCTCATCACCCAGCGCTTGCCTGGACGAGTCATGCCCTCCTTCTGTCTCAGCATCGCGCAGCTCCTTTTCGGCCGTCAAAATTTCTACCTCTGAGGTCAGCTCCTCGATGCGTTCCTGAGCGGCGTCGAGCTCAAATTTGAGCGATTCGCTCCGCTCCTCCGCCATCTCTTTGTCGAGGACAGCCATCTCTGTAGAGTCTGTAAGCTCCACCACCTGACGGTCCAGCTCTTCTTTCTGGGCTTCCCAATCCTTCTCGAGCTTGTACAGATCTCTGACTTCATTTTGGAGCTCTTGTTGCTTGGCTGCAAAGCAGTGCAATTCGTTCAGGGTACGCGAGTCAGCCAGCGCCATTTGCCTCCGCTACATTCAGCACACTTACCCATAAGCTTGGGCTTCGCAGCAAGAAAGCCATCGGCATCGCTTTTGACGCGCTCCATCTCTCTAATGCGCTCTCGATCCTCTTCTTTGCGCTTCTCCAGGATTCTGTTCCTCGCACGGAGCTCATCAATCTCTCGCTGAAGAGCTCCGACCTCTGCGGCACTGGGTCTGGGGCCCGAAGACAGGGACATGTGGTCGATCCGAGGTCTGTTGCCTGATAATGACGCCTTGCGAACCGATGGCGACAGCTCTCCAGACTCTTCCACGCCCTCTTCGTCCGAGAGCAAGCCTTCAGCGCCAGGTAACGACTCCGTGTCGAGGGACATGTTCATCAATTCCTCCTCATTATCTTCATCGGCATCGTCGGTGGAGATCGCCGTGCGTCTGCTGGCAGCGGGCAACCTGGCCTGAGGAGGCGGCTGTCTGGCGCTGCGAGCGGTCGAAGGTGGAGCGAGGCGAGCGCTGCTTGGTGCGGCGCTGCCTGCAGTGACGCGTGGTGTGATACCTGTACGGCCAGCAAGTCGCGCTCCAGGAGTTCTATTTGCAACATCGACAGAAGAAGCTGCAGAGGTGCTTCTCGAAGTTGCTGCAGCCGTGGGAGTTCTGGTGGTTGCCCTCGGTATCGTCGCTGCGTTTTCTCGAGCGCTCGGGGGCGCCATGGATTGGCGATGCTTGGGCACTGGCCGCAAGCCCGCCTTGGCTGTTGCTGTGTCTGGTGCTCGACCCGGGATTGTGGAGCCAGGCTTTACAGCACGAGGAGTGACACCGGCGACCCGACTAGCAGCGCCACTTGCCACCGAGCCTGGCGCCGTCGAGGTGCGCTGCATCCGAGCTGTGGCCGCGGAAGCGACCGGTGTGGTGTTGCGGGTAACAGCAGCGCTTTGAACAGTGCGAGTGGCTGCTACACCAGTACGCTTGGTTGGGCTGCTTCCGCGGGATGCGCTTGCCCCGATGGCTGATCTGACCGCAGTGCCAGCCTTTTGGGGAGAGACAAGCTTTCTTGGGGCCAGCGAGGAGCGCGGACGAGCTGCCTCTGAATGTGTAACAGACGTCGTCGTCGTCTGCCTCTGAAGCAGCAAGGAGGTTCCAGCGATCAGCACGACCGAAGCGAAAGCACGATCGAAACCGCGCCCACTCACACTGGCAGTAGGCCGTTTGACCGGACTTGGGACACGCGAGATGCGCGGCGCAGGCCTGGAGGGTGGGGGCATGAGCTCTTCTTCGTCCATCGGCTCGTCTCTTGGACCTTCGTAATCCTGATCCGCCTCCTCATATTCATTATGTCCAGAGTCCTCCTCTGGTCGCAAGAGACGCGCTTGGCTTATCCTCGCAAATAAGCCATGTCCTGGAAGTGAGTCAAAGTATCGCTTGCCTTGTACCGTGCCATCATTCTTTCCTCGCGGCTCGTCGAGATGTGCACCGACCCAAAGTCCAGGCGCAAAGCTAGTTTGACCCACAAAGAGAACGGTGCCACGTCCGTAACCGGTGAACTCGCACCGGTCTTGGAGCCGCAGGACCGGAGCTGATCCACCTGCGCTCATGATGACTAGAGTAGGAAAAAAGGGCTGTGCTCTCGGTGAATGGCAGATTGGTGAGGCCGTTGATAGCCGATCGGAGCGAATTGACCGGAGTTTGCGTGGTGATCACTCAGAGGTAGGCAAGCCAGCCTTGCAGGGACATGGCCTGTAAAGCGCGTCGCCAAGTCGACAGTCTCTTCTCCTTCTCGGATCAGAGTCAGCCTGAAGCGTCTGCTGCGACCACCTGTAGACGAGGACAGCCTCTAAGGGTGGGTGTTGCTCGATCTGCTTGCGGAGGCAGCATCCTTGGTTGCGGTCGCAAGGAGAGCCACCTTGAAGTCACACATGTGCGCGCGACGCGACGCACGGGCGCGCGGCTTCACGGGCAATAAGATGCAGGCGCGCTTGCGCACTTACTCTCGTACGAGACCGCTTCATCTTCCCACCATAACCACAGCACCTACGATCATCCCGATCTGTTCCCAAATCGTGTTGGTCTGCGATCCTTGTCGAGGTGATCATTACAAAGTCTTCTGAAGCTTTTGAGAGCATTGCCGAGTGGACTGCTTGCTTGATGACAGGACTACAAGTGGACGAGCCCTATCCTTGGCGCACGCAATTTCTGTCGACCGCAGGAAGACGAGATGTCAATGAGGGGAAGGAGAGTGTCGAGCTCGAGAGCCCAACGATGGGCGTGTCGACAGAATCAGAATCGATGAAACGGAAAGCCAGAGGATGAAAAGAGACGGATGGATCACGGATCACCGGTGGATGGACTGAAAGGATAAACGCGGGCGGTGTTAGATTTGTGCGGGGACAAGCCGCTTGCGTGACAGATTCCACGTCTGCGTTATAGCGTTCGTTCGCTTCCGCATTCGAAGGTGCTGCCCGCCGCTCATGCAGCGCTGCTGCTGCAGCTTCGGATAGACCCTAACCGCACATACCCGAATCGCGAATCTTTTAATAATCACGAGTGCAGCAATGCTCCGACGTGCAGCAGCAATTCGCGAGAGGGGTGGTCGCACGCTGCTTGCGCTAAGAGATGCCGAGAGCTTTGTGCCTGCACGTCTCAAAGCCACACAACCCCGTGAAGGACCGTTGTCGTTCTTTGGTCAGATGAGCAAGACTTGATGCTCATCTGATGACAAAACGCTTTGCAGCAATGAAAGATGTTCTGCTCCTGATTATCACCCTCTTTCGTGGTCCGTCCATGCCTAATCGATTTCTGCGACGATTCGCAGGTCCTCAAGATGGTTCGTCGTTCACTCTCCTCCTTTCCAGCTTGGCTTGGCTTGCCCACCGAGCACGATGAAGTCTTTGACCCCCAAGCCCGCTTCGTTACGAGCTACATTCTACCTCCTTGGCTCTTAGCGTCCATCCGCACCATCTTCTTCCTCTACGCTCTCGTCACTCTCATTTTGGACTTCGTTTTTGGAGGAGCGGATCAATTTGCTTACTTTACCGTCCTCTCCTACTCCGGCATTACTTCTTGGTTTCTCATTTCCGCTTTCCAAGGATTCACATATACCCACTCTCTTGCACGATGGCACAAGACCTTTACCTCTTCGGACCTGCCTACGAGTGACAAAGTACAATATCCTCAGAGCTGGCTCTCAAACAAGTTTCCTCGACCACTGCAGTTTGCTCACTTGCTGCTATGGTCCACCGTAGCCACGTACCCGCTCATCGTGACCATCGTCTTTTGGTCCGCATTGAGCGGCGGCGCACTGGACGGCCTACAGCGCGCTTGGCAGAACATTTCGGTTCACGGTCTGAATTTGGCTTTCGCCATGATTGACGTTATCGTCATCGGAAGAGGACCTATGATGCCCTGGTCGCACTTGCTTTTTGTAGTCTGCCTTCTCGCTCTCTACGTCGGCGTCGTGAGTACGAGAAGAAAGACCCTTCCCGCAAATGAGAAGTTTCCGCTGCGGTATCGAGCTGGTAGCGAGTATTCACATTGCATCCACGTTCATTGCGCGCTCTAGGCGTACATTCACTACGCTGCGAGTGGGACCTACGTCTACGACTTTTTGGATCCAGGCTTCGTCGGTGGTCAAGTAAGTAGAAGTCTGATTTGCTAGTACGGTTGCTTACGACGCAGCGCTGATGCCCCACACGACCTGGTTTGAACTTTCAAAGGGACCGCTAGCAGGCGTGATCATCGGCGTAGGAGTAGGCTGCTGTCTTTCCTTCCTCGTCGGCCAATTCCTCATATGGTTACGGGAATGGCTGGCCGCGTTGATACAAAGATCAGGAGGATGGGGCTCGGCCAGACCAGTCGGAGTGCCCGACAATGCCCTTGTTCCCACCAAATTTGGTCCGGGTCCAGACGGCGAGGGCGGTCAGCGCAGCTCGTCGGCCGGACCTTGGAGGCAGCGATGGCCTCCTGCCATCTCGCACAGCGTCGACTCTGCAACGAGCACGACCCAGCCCCATCTTGATTGACCTCTACATCACATGGACCTTTTACTCTGCTTGTACATAGTCACTGCACGCGTACTGTAATCAGATGGGACGAGCACGGCGCTGTCTATGGAGCATGCATTTCTATCCGAGCGAGACACTCTCGTTGCGATAAGAGCCTTGATCTTTGTCTCTGGCATTCTGTCAATCTGACAAACAGGGATGTAGCACTCGCACTAGATTCAAGTCTGGTAGCGCCACTCCTCTCTCCAGGCTTTGGACTCGTCCACCACCTGTCCTCTCTCTCGACGCTCAGCGATGCGCTCGTCGAGACGTCGATTGTGTCGAGCAAGGAGGATCCAAAGGGCGCTAGCAGCCGAGATGCCAAACAACAGCCAGATGATGGTGAAGATGTGACTGATGCGGTAAGACTTGTTCGGAATGGTGCCGAGCGGGATTCTGTACAGCTGAGTGCCGATGATCGAGGCGCAATTCCCTCCCGAAATTTGGAAGGCCAGAGAGACCGCTCGGCGAAGCTGGCCCTGGACATTTTCCGAAGGCCATGCGAGTAAGAGACCGTTAGCGCCATAGATGCCAGCTGCAGCGATGAAGGTGGCAGTGTACTTGCCCGCTACAGTTGGAGAGGTGATGAGGACAATGTAGCCAAGAATAGCCAAGAAGCCATTGCCAATGATGAAGGGTGCACGGCGTTTGACGTACTTTTGCGAAACCCAAGCGGTCGTGATGACGTAGATGAAGGCGAAGGCGTAAGGCGGTATCGTCAGAAGTTGACTTTGCCAAGGCTTGAAGGTCGGGTCGATGCCAGCGATGATGCTTGGAAGGCTGAGAGAGTAGGTGTACAATGCGAAAGCGAAGCCGTGGAACAGGAGGGCATACAAGTACACGTGAGGGTCTTTGAGGGCCAATTTTACTGCGGACCACTCAAATTTTTCGGTATCGGTAGCGTCCGAGTCGCGAGACAGACGGTGAACGATGACTTCACGTTCGCGCTGGGTCAAGGCGCGAGCGTGTGCGGGCCATTTTGGAATGAGGAACCAAGCCAAGATGCCGACGAGAGCTGTGAAAGCGCCTTCGATCCAAAAGAGATATTGCCATCCGTGGTGACCAAGCAAGCCGTCCATGCGGGTCAGACCAAAGGCAAGAATGCCACCCAGGGAGCCGGCGGCGGCGGCAGCACCGAAGAAGAGGCTGACTCTCAGTACACGCTCATCGCGACGGTACCAAAAGCTGGATGGAATGTGTGGGTGTGTAAGCGCGGCGCGGCATCAACAGATCGAAGCGCTCTCCCGAACTCACCTGAACGTCCAGACGATGCCAGGAAAGAGACCTTTTTTGGGGGGGCCGGGTGCGCAAAATTCAGATCACGGAGGATGCTCCGCTGGCAAAGAAGAGCTCCACACTTACCAGCTTCAGTTGCACCGAGGAGCAGACGGACGACGTACATCTCTGCAGTCGTTCTTACGAAGCCTTGACACATGGATACGATTCCGAAAAGAAACGTCCAAATGGCCAGTACGGCTGCAGGTCCGTCAATGCTGTACCGCTTGAGCAGTAGATTGGCAGGCACTTCAAATACGACATAGCCCACGAAGAAGAGACTTGTGGCTGTCGGATAATCGCGGAGTCGAATGTCATCCACGATGCCTTCGATTTTGGCATTTCCGATGTTGCTGCGGTCCAAAAAGCTCAGCAGGTAGAGCGAGGTGAGGATGGGCAATAGCAGCCAGTCGATCTTGCGCAGTAAACGCTTTTCCTCCGCAGCGTCGTACACCACAACGTCGACGTTACTTGCATCGCTGGAAGCTGCTTCTTTTGTTGCAAAGGCGTGCGAAGTCGGATCACTAGGATGGAAGAATGGACGGTCAGTCAGCCACATGCTGGCTCAAAAATCGATCGAGAGTTGTCCGAGCTCACAATGATCCATCCTCCACCGAAGGGTCTGCTCGCTTGCCGTCGTCACTCATAATTGCAAAGATACGAGTGGTGTAAGACTAGAAGTGAGCTGATGACCGCTCAGAAATGGCCTAGCCGCGAGTGGCGCGGCGTCAAGTTGGAAAAAGGCGAGAATGGGTCAGCTGGGGGAGGGAGCTGAGAGTCGTGGTGGTAGGGAAGGGAGCTGCGGGAGGTCAATATGTGATGGGGACAAGTTTATCAAGGCACGAACCGATTGCTTCGAACAGATTGACTGTCGAGTGGAGCAGAGACATCAGGGACTCAGACGTGGGCGCCCAGCCGCAGCGCTTGACAAGGTCGCGCAATCTGAGCCACAAGTAGCGTTTAGAAAGAAGCAGGTACCAAGCATCGCACGTCTGGCTCCTTGCAAGCACACGACCAGCTGTTTGACGCTTGGAGCGCTATCAAGGCGAGTCGAGCGTCTCAAATGTTCACATTGGACGTGTGCCTGGAGTGATAGGCAGCTGATGCTCCGTCTGCAGCTTCCTCGCGCTTCCTCACGTCCGCTTGCCAAGAATCAGCGAGTGCTTCCTCCCGCGGACCATGAGCCGAAGTGGGGAGAGGCCAATCGTCGAGAGAGTGATCCTTCGCCCTGACCGAGCCATGAGCGCATCTTCTGAGCCTCTTCACTTCACGGCTGTCGTCGTGCTACGCAAGCATGGAGACGGTAGGCGGCAATCGAGGTTTCTCATGAGCCAAGCTGCAAATAGCACGCCATCGTTGATCCTCTCAAACGCATGCTGCTGTTGGGGGGAGGGGCGCGTTGCGCCGCCGCCCAAAAGGCGTGATTGCGCGTGACATCCATCATGCATCGATCCCCGCCTGCGTCTGCTGCTGATGCAGGCGAGTATCGTGCGCGGCTAATTCAAACTTCATACGCCCGCCCACGTAGAGAAAGCACGGGGTGCTGCTATGCAGATGCCCCTGCTCATTGACCATCCCAGCATGGTCGCGACCAGTCACATCACGCCCAGCGGGGTGCACAGGGCGGCGACGCTCCTGCTGTTGATGGACTCTCATGTCCTGAGCATGAGCTATCGTGGCGTTTGGTGCAGCATGCGTGACTTCCTGTTCCGCCATAATCATGAATGCAGGAACATGAGGGCGGGCCGTCCCTTGATAACGTGGTTCGGAGCACGAAGAACTAGGGTTGTGTATTTACTTGGTATGAGTTGTGCGGTGACATGAACAAGGGCTACGATAGGGATGGCAGTCAAGGATGAATGTGGACGTATCCAACGTAGGCGTTCCAGCGACGACTGAGTCCATGACGTCCTTGGAGCCACCTCTCCTCTTCGCAGGATGGCAATTACAAAATACTTAGAAGGGTTGTGAACTCCAAGGTTTGTTGACGAGACTACTAACACGGTCTGTTGCGGTGATGATTACCGGCCTCCGAAGCCCATCGCAAGAGCAGCTGGAAAGATGCGAGTCTGGCTCAGGTTGCTTTGCTCGCCTTGCTGTTGACCATTCCAGAAGTAGAGCAACGCTGCGATGCAAGCCAATGCAGACAGCAACGTTTGAGCAGATGGCAGATCGCTGGACCCGCTTTTGTGCGCCTTCGATAGCGCTCCCGCTCCCTTGGAAAAGTTTGGAATGTTGCTCTTGAGCTCCGTAGCTGCGACTGGCAAGAGGACCACGCACGCCGTGTATAGTACCGCAATGGACCTCAAGAACAGAGCTGGCCATTCCAAGATGGAAGGCGCCCTGGGTTCCTTCTCTCCCTTGTGTACATAAGGCTGCTTGAAGAGCATGTAGATGGCATACAGAGCCACGCTAAAGAAGTGATAGACCAATAACCAAGGTTCGGGGGACAGACCGGACAGCAGCCGCACAGGTCCACCCACGCATTCACCCCCCAACTCAAAGTAAGCAAAGCAGCCTTCTCTAAGCACCTCCAGATTCGCATCCTCAGCTCCGAACAGACTGTAGAGCGCTTGGGCCAGAATGTTGATCATGCTAGCAAGCTTTTTGCGTTCCCAGTGCCAGGATCTCAATGCCGGCTTTAAGGAGTTCCAGGATGTCAGGTCCGCGACGGGTTTCATGCGTGGCTTGGGTGACCAGTCTGGCCCTCCAAGAGCCATTGTCAGATGCACTACGTCCCACAATCCCACAGTCATTCCGCCTGGCGACAGAAAAGCAAAGAGACCGAACGTCAGCCACGGTCCATTCGCATAGGCTGTGCGTTGATCTCACTCACCACCAGTCAAGGGATGGCGCATGTTCATGGCATCACCCACCAAGATGACGCCCTGCCTGTTCTTGTTCTGACCTTGCATGCTCGGCGGCAAGAAGCTGTTCGGCATGCTGCGGAACCTTGAACTCCTGCCTAGTTCCTTGCCCACACACTCCCGTAGCACCTCTGGAAGTTGGGGAATCACTTTTTCTCTGATGTGTGCTTGAAGTGCGCCGCTAGATTGCGACGGCAACTTTTCTCCAGGCACATCGATCAAGACCCGCGTGTCGCTTGCGCTGATCTGGTACAGGAGCGTAGGACCAGCAGGGCCCAGCACGACGTGGCCATGATTTGGACTTGGCAAGGGTGCGTTGTGAAGTTCCAAGGCGACAAAATTGGACCGCACGATGGGGGCAATGCTCGAGCCATGGGTGCGTCGGAACTTGGAGAAGCAGCCATCAACCACGATGGTCAAAGGTGCGGAGCAAGAGATCTCTTGAGAGACGGGTGTCGGCTGTTGTGAGGAGGTAGTGGGATGCTTGATGGTCGCGGTGATTCCTGTGACCTTTCCCGCGGCCTCATCCTCATTCAGCGAAGTGACGGTGGCCTGGATGGTTGTCACGTTCGGTTGAGCCATGGCGGCTCGTCTCAAGGCTTGCACGAATCGGCCATGATGGAAGCTTCTGCCCTCTACTCTGCCGCTTGTCGATTGTATGCCCAGCTCTCGAGCCTCTGGGCTCTCGTTGGGGTACGGAATGGGCACGGACCGCCTGCCCTGGAAGACGTGGTATCCGTGGACTGGTGCTGCATCGATGCCTTCCAAACAGTCGAGCAGACCGAGCAAGCGCAAAGCTCGTACACCGCCTGGTTGAAGCAATTCGCCGACAATCCGATCAGGTTCCGTGAGATCGCGTTCCAAAAGCAACACCTTGCGGCCCGATCTTCCAAGAGAGCTCGCAGTCGCGGCGCCGACTACCCCTCCTCCCACCACAATGACATCGAAGGCGCGCTCGGCAAGGTCGGTGCGGGTGCTCATGCTGGCGAACTAGGTTTCTGTTAGTTGCCTCGCGCCTGGCAACACCGCGTGCTTCAAAATACGTCGGGTCTGAGTGAGGTCAAGACTGCGAATGTAGGCTCGGATTGAATTAAAGTGCGCAAAGGAGGATGGCCGGCTTGTTGTGGGTACCTATACCGAAAGTGCAGAGCCAGCAGATTGGACCTGCTACCAGCAAGTGGCAATGAAAAATTGGAGGTGCTAGATTAGGGACATGCTACGATACTGGCGTCGATATATGTGGGCAAGAAGAGCGAACGATGAGCTGCAGGTGCAACAGCATTCCATCTGCTCAGAGCGCTACACCAGCGAGCGATTGAGTTCTAATTCTGTGGAGATCTGAGAGCCACAAACGCGGTTTCTGAATCTCTCTGTATGTACAGTCATGCCGTGTGTCCCAAAAGTGGCGCCACCAGCTGAGCCACGTGGTGAACAACAGACGCGTCCTTACGTGAGACAGTTGTGATTGCGATTTGTGACTTCTGAGCTAGCCCGTGCTACGTCTGACACTCGTGACTCACATCACCAGCGACTCAAACTTGGTGCTGCGCAGCACGCATGCACCACAACAGCCTTGAATCGTGAGCCGTTCCAGAAGCTCACGACTGACCGAAGCACCGAGGTGCCAACGATGTTGCTGACCATGTTCGTGCAATCGTGAATGTTCCGGAAGTGCATAAAGCCGGGTCACCGGTACTTCAAACGTTCGAATTGAGTCGCCTGGACTGGCAGTTGTGCATCTTATCACATTCGCGAATGTGAATGGCGGGTCACGGGTGGCAAGACAGCGATGAAGAAATGACCTAATCTCAAGTCAGGCCCTTCCACATTTTCGATGTGCATGGCAACTTCGCACCACACGCCACAATAATACCTTTATTCTGGATGGAGTGCGCAAGATGCTCAGCAGCAGTCACCATTTCTCCACACAAGTTTGACAACTGAAGTTTCCACTCTGACTGCTACGAGTACATGATATTCGACTCGCAAGCTCTGGATTGTTTCGTAAGCCTCGTACGACTTTGGCAGAAACAGTCACACTGAGCTTGAGTCAACGATGAATCTTTTGTGAATCAGTGGTGCTGTATGCAGCGCGCCCATCAGCCTCTCCCAACGTCAGCGCTCGGTCAAAAGACCTCTCCTCTAACCTCTTAGCCATCATCACGAACATGGAACGCGTATATGCCTCGGCTATGTGTGCGTGTATTTCTATTACAAGTCTACGCCGGCGCTCCTAGCTCTTCAAGCGTCTAGACAACGAACATGCACCCGGCGTAGATTCACCAATCAAGCAGCAGTCCGCGCTGCTGGAACCGAGCCGAGACCTGATTCCATCGGATCCGCGTCGATCATGTCGCAAGAAGTAAAGTGGGCCAAGATTGCCGAATCATATACCCAAATTCGCATGAGAGCGCGGCAAAAGCCACCGTCAGTGGCTATTGTCTCTTAGCAGCGCATCGCCGCGACGATTCATGTACATACATGGTCGTGTGACAGAAAATGCCACGGCCTCCAAACTGCGATCCCCACTTCGCAGTCAGCAGACGATCAAGTGGTCAGGGCGCATGAATGACAGCGAACGAAAAGCTTGGACTGCGTGACAAATAATTGTGCATTCTGAATTCGAAGGTTTGCACGCGACGGTCAGCTGGTGAAAGCAGCGCACGTGCCAACGAGAGCAACGTGGGATAAATAAAAGCTGCAAGTGGAGCGTCGTTTCAGGGAGCAGAGCAACATCGCGGGAAGTCGAGCAAAGTGCAAGGGCTCGAGCGGACAAAGGACTTAGAACACGGCGCTGCCGTTGAATGGCGAAGCGATGCCTCCTGGCAGATTTTGTGGCCAGGAAGCGAACAAGAAGGTCCATCGGCGGGTCAGACGACAGTGCGCTACCAGTTTCTCCAGATCCACCATTTCTCCAATGGGGCATCCGAACATCCTTGGGTGGCAGAGCGCGTGAAAGGTCAGCAGGTTGTCAGCCAAGGGCGCAAGCTGATCGGCTTCTAACCACTAAGCTGCACTCACGCGAGCAGAGTCTCGTGCAGGAATTGCTCCTCTGGGCGAGGTGGCCAAGATTCGAAGGCGGGAGCATCGCCAGCGACTGCCGCGAAGCTGCAAACCGAACAGGAAAGGATGGCAGATCGTTAGCCTGATGCGTTTTCGCGAGCTACTTCGAAAGTCGACGTTCGTATCTGCACGCACTGATTATTCCAGATCCATTCAGCCACATGCTCTCCTTGTTCCACACCGGCCAGCTGTTCTTGTCCAGGATTGGCGCTCCATCTCTTCCGCTCCTCGAAAGAGCTGCGATTGTACCGATCAATAAACCCCGTCCTGATGAGCAAAATATCACCCTTGTGGAAGCGTACGCCCTGAGCTCGAGCGCACTCTTGAAGCTCTGAGAGAGTGATTGCGCGCGTGGTCATCGGATCGTAAGGCGCGCGTCCGGCGTTCTTCTCGGAGAGGTAGCCGTATACATCCAGCAGCACGCCCCTACGACAAGACAATATGCGTTTCATCAGCGTAACGGCGAAGGACAAATAATGACTCAATCAACGCACCTGCCAACGATTCCATGGTTTGCAAGGTGATGGATACCTGGTCTGGCAAGCGGGCTGTTCGCCGCTTGACTGTTATCCTGCGTACCCCAGGCAATGTCCGACTTTTTGATGCCTTGGTAGAAGCAGTTGACTGGAGAGGGGGTGTCAGCACGCAGTCACTGCGTATTCAGCACCGGCTCCAGCCTTCTTAACCACATCCGCGTGCTGCCCATTGACCACTTACGACCGAGATGACCAAAATGCAAGAAACCGTCCCACTGGGAGCCTGACTGAGTGTTGAAGTGAATCTCTTCATCTGCCATAGGCATTTCTTCAGGCTTTGACGGGTCGCTTCTGTCTTCCACAAACACGCCCTTGCTATATAGAGCACTCTTGACTGCTTTGCGCTTGTCGATGACTGCAGGTCCCGCCTTAGTCACAGTGGTATGCGAGACTGCGCAACGACCGAACAAGGGCAGCTCGGGCTTGTTGAACGACCAGTTCAGAGGGATCGTCACGCCCGTTCTGACCTCCTCTTTGGATGCGCGGAGCACGAGCTCGGGGGTCAGCATGTTGACTGTGCCGAGAACGTCGCCCTAGGCAGAATGTGATTTGTGATGGTCACATCAGCACGAAGCGCGATCTGTGCGACAGTCCATCTTCGCAGACGACTCACCTTGCCCCATACGGACCAGGCACATCCAGGGTAGCCGCCCTCAGTAGGCAAGTCTCTATAGGCTGGTAGGTGACGCCACTCGCCGCGCCTCGATCCAGCGGAAGACGTACGAATGAGTGACTGGGTAGCAGTGGAAGTAGCGCTTCCCAACTGAAGAGCAATCTGAGCCAGACGTCTGGTAGAGGTTTCGGGGGTGATGATCGAAGAGGCTGATGCAGCCCTGGCAGGTCTGGTATGCGTGTTACTAGGCTTCTCTGCATGCTCGTAATCCGGGTGGACCTGAGTGTGAGGCGCAGTCTTGGTCGGATGTTCAGGGTGCTCGCGGTAAGAACGGCCAAAGTTGGGTACGGAGCTTCCTGAACCGCTGGTGCGGGTCACAATGGCGCCGAGAGCAGAGGCCAGGCCAGCGCGACGTCTTCGATGCTCGTGATGGCCATGCTCGCCATGCTGCTTTTGTCGATCGTCGTCTGCGCTCATGCTGCTTTGGGCAGGGGTGAAGGAAGGCACAAGACTTGTGGAGTAGGACGTAGGTGCTTGCTGAAGTCCCAATCAGTGGTGCGGATGGCTTTGTGAGGGATGGTGGTTGGAAGCTAGAAGTGCAGAGGCTGGCACGCTGCCAAGTGGAACCTTCGCAAGCCGATAGCTCGACTACGAAGGTTCTGGGGATGCGATGGTGAATCCAGGCTGGCCAAGCCAAGGGGCCTTTGCCTCCGCATTTGTGGGGAATCGGCAGGGCGTTCTTTCGCGCATACGCTTGCAGCCAGCAGCATGTACTGTATGTATAGAGTGAGTTCACGATCACTTTGCTCGTCCCATGCTCGCCTCGCGCTGCTCAATGCATGCCAGCGGGCGAACGCGATCGAGCATCAGCGTCGGCAGTTGGGTGTTGCTGCCGTATGACCTGCATGCAGCTGCAGTGCAGCATCTGGACGCTTGGCTGCAAGCAAGCAAGCCACGCTAACACCGAAGTCTTTCACGAGCCTCGGCTTTGTATACCGTACACTCAACGCGTGACTCACGACTGTATGCAAACACAAATTCACGACTCCACTCGTGACTCTGATTCAATAATGAGTGATGCAGGTCGCTACAAGGTCAAGAAAACGTCGCACGCCGTTGCACGTGACCCAGCCTCCATCGCACCGCGAGATGGAAGCAACACACCGTACGCGTGAAATAACATGGACGCTTGATGGAGCTATATATAGCATACAACAGGTGGATCAGGTCGCGAATTAACCATCACTCACCTCCGTCGGCATTCATTTGCAACACCTGCGCATGCACAGCAATCGATGATCACGGATGCCTCGCGCGAGCGGCTTGGCTGGGTCAGCGCATGCTGAGAGATCACAAGCGCTCCTCTCCATCCCTTGCTCTACCGACGACACAGACACTCACGTTGGCATCAGCACATCACACGTCGCGATCCACGTGCCGCTTTTATAGCACTTTCGCTGCTTCTACAGAGATGTCTTCACCGGCAGCGCAGTCATCGAAAGAGCCTACAGCTCAGTCTGAGCTTCCGCCAACCGCCTCGAGCAGCTCGTCACAAATTACAGAGAACAGAAGCCCTCACTCGAGCGGAAGTACTACCGCAGAAGACTTGTCCGCGTGGTCCAAGTTTTTCAACCGACATGCACAGCTTGGGAGGAATAGGAGACACAGAAATGAATCGGATCACAAAGAGTCAATGAGGAAGCTGCGCAGGCTGGTCCTAAACAGAGTACCTGACGACGATGTGAGTGTTGGATTCTGCCGCTATGCAAGACGCGCTGCTTACGTTGCATGCCGACCATTGCCGAAGCTCCATACGCCCTTCGGACCTTCGAGGCCACTGGTGTGGAAGCTCTTGCTCGGTGTGGACTGTTCTGCAACTCACTACCTGGACCTCGTAGCAAGAGGCCCCTCCCCTGCACATGTCAAAATCCGCAATGATACCTTCCGGACCCTGGCTACCGACCAGGGCTTCAAAGAGCGTGTCAGCGAGGAGATGCTGATCAGGCTGCTTGAAGCCTTCGTGTGGCGTAGTATGGGTGAGGCGACCGGACAAAGGCAACGCGGGGGCAATGACGGTTGTAGCTGACCTCACACACTTTGCCCTATGATGACAGACATGTATGAAGATGACGCTGAAGCGTCGATGGAAGAAGATGCCCCGCTATCGTTCTCCTACGTGCAAGGCATGAATGTTCTCGCAGCTCCGTTCCTCTACGTCTACTCCGCCCAGAGTGCCACTTTGACTTCAACGAGTCTAAGCGATCCGGCTGCAAAAGGCAAGCAGAGAAAGATCGGCAGCGAGATGGAAGCCTTTTACTGCTTTGCTGCTTTCATTGAGCGGTGTTGTCCGCTGTATGTTCAGCCTACTCTCGTGGGTGTGCATGCGGGCTTAGAGGTGAGACTTCGCGGTATTGCGATGCGTCAGAGCAAAATGCTGACAGGCTTTGCGGTGTGACCAACTTTCAGCTCCTCGATCGATGCCTGAACATTGCCGATCCGAGTCTCTTTGCTCATCTGCGCTCCAAGAATCTGACGGCTGAGCTCTATGCGTTTCCATGTGAGTCAAGCATGCCCAAACTCCCCAGGCACTGTGCACTAGGCCGACGGCGTGAATGTAGCCCTTGACGTTACGCTGAACTGCGCACTTTCGCAGCTGTGTTGACGCTGTGCGCCTGCACAGCGCCCCTGAGCGAAGTGTTGCACCTCTGGGATTTCCTTCTAGCTTTCGGCGTGCATCTCAACATCCTCTGTGTTGTCGCTCAGCTGTTGCTGATGAGGGATCAGCTCATGGACAGTGCAAGTCCTATGAAGCTACTCAGAAGCTTTCCGCCCATCAAGGCCAGAGCTATCATCGGCATCACCACCACTCTGGTCAGGGATCTGCCCGATGAAATATATCAAGAATTGGTGGCTCATGTGAGTCACAGTCTTGATCGAAGCGCTGTAAAGAGTCTGACGCGTCCGAGCACATTCTCTTGCACAGACCGGTGCGATGCTTTGAGGCGAAGCTGTTACTGACGGCGGTGCTACTCTTCGCGCTGGTTGCACGGCTGTCTCGAAGATATCATCACCGCTCCTACACCTACTGCGCACGCTGAAGACTTTTCAAATGCATGTTGTACACTAGCCCGCTTTCGTCGTCAGCTAATGCCGGCGTGTCCCTCCCGAGTGTCACGCATCTCGTTCATGAAATGTCATTAAAGGTCTTGACGGTCATCAATAAAGGTCACGTCGGAGAGATCGCTGCCTGCGAGTGGTAGACTGCCAGCGAGCAAAGTGGGGGAATGGGCGGTGTCACGATAGAGGGGCGGATAAAGGCAGCGCATGTGAAGCCGGACCTGTGCCCCAAGGCTCGGGTGTGGATCCAGTAGCGCGCAGTAAGAACGCTGCAACAGGGAGATTGCATCCCTTTAAAATGTCCTAGGGAGAGAGAAGAAAGAAGGAATAAGAAATTGTCCATGAAATGTCTGCTGGCCTCAGACGACGCCAGCCCAGCGATTGCGAAGGCCTTCGAGCCAACGGCCATAGAGCAAATCCACAATGGGCGAGCTCCTCTCCGCCTCCGGTTGTGCCTGTTGAGAAGGTGAGCTCGGTTGAAGCTTGGCCCTAAAGGTAGTTGAGATATTGGATCTGGCCTGCTCGTTTTCGCTCATGCCTACCAAGAGATCCACAATGGTCGTGTATGCCAGCTTGGGGTTCGCTTCGCCCAACTCGGAGAAGCCCTTGGAGATCATCTCTAGCGCTTCGATTTCCCTCGCCGGCAGCTCTTCTCGCTTGCTCTGCTCCAGCACAGGCAAGACAACGTCGTTGACGAGACTGTGACCCGCGCTTTCCAGATCAGCTTCTTCGGGAATGCTGCCCTCGCTGCTCCGACTCTTGCGGTGGCCCGGTCGCGAAGGCGTGGAAGAAGAGCCACTCGAGGCGCTAGCTTTTGGTGATTTGAAGGCAGAGGCGGTCGGATCCGAGGCTGAGCGGGGGCTCGCTTCGGCATTTCGCAGAGATCCGATGTACTCGGCGCTGATGCGCGCACTGCCACCTGCATCGAGTCGTTTCACAGGCCGGATGGTGTCCATACCAGACGCGACATCCGCTTCTCGCAGCACAGTCCCATTGATGTCTCTGCGCTCGTTCCAGCTACTCCTCCGTGACCGGTTTGCGTTGGCACGTGCCCAGCTCGCAGTAGCGTCCACTGAAGATGACGGTGAGTGCGCAACACCCTGGCGAGGCGTGACCGGCTCGGCAACCTTATCACGACTGCCAGGTGGCGGAATGAGATGCTGCGACTTTGAAGAGCCAGCATCAAGATCTTCTGGCTCAGGTCCACCTGGCCGCATACCTCTGAAGGAGTTTTTGAGAGCATTGACGTGTACAGAAGAAGTGGAGACGTCCTCTCGCATAGGCGTGGATGCTGCACTCGTTGCCGGCGTGCTCCGCCCGCCTCGTGATGCAGAGTCGCTCAGATCAGCGTCGCTATTGACGCTGGCTTCGTCCTCTTCGGCCGCAGCCCCAATGGCGCCCGCAGCTTCAGCTTGCTGACAGCTGCGACGGGTGACGGTGCTTTCCATGGCGCCCATGAGCCCTTCGGCTGGTCTTTGGCCCTTTACAGTGGCATATCCGGGACGATCCTCGCCTACGCTTGGTGGTCCACGGCCGACCGTTGCCCAGACGTCTATGCTCTCCAAGCTTTGATCTCCAGGAGAGTCCAACGTGGATCGGATGGTGTCAAATTGCCATTCGCTCATCATCGTGCCGTTGCGCCCGACTGTGCTGGCTGCGTCCGAGTCGGCAATCTCGCTAGCTGACTGGAGGTGATCGCGGACAATGTTGCCGCCGCGATTTGCTCCGCGCGCCTTGTGCTCTTGATGTCTCTGAATCAATTCGGTCAGCACGCTCGTTTTGCGCGCGCCCTTGATGAAACGGTGACTGAGCAGCTCCTTGACTGATGGTCTTTGCTTAGGTTCCTTGATCAGACACAGGTCCACGAAGTCTTTGAACTCGCGGCTGAAGTTGCCTTCTAGCACAGGAGGCTTGGCCTTTGGAATCAAGAAGAGCACCCGCATAGGGTGGTACTCGGCCAGCGGTGGCTCTCCTTTCGCCATCTCGATGGCCGTGATACCTAGAGACCACACGTCCGCCTTGGCGTCGTAGCCTGCCTGGCGAATGACTTCCGGCGCCATCCAGAAAGGGGTGCCGACGAACGTGTTGCGCCTCGACTTGTTGTTGGAGAGCTGAGCAGCGACGCCAAAGTCGGCTAAGTGTTAGGAATGAGCGTGGATGAATTTGTGAGCGTCGCACGTAGCACATAGCACCAGAGCTTTGATAACATATACTCACCAAGCTTGACCTTTCCGCTGGCGCTGAGGAGCACATTGGCAGCCTTGATGTCACGGTGTATCTTTCCCTCATTGTGCAAGTACTCGAGCCCGAAGAGCAGCTCCCTGCAGACGATCGCGATGTGCTCTTCGCGGAATGGGCCAGCTTTGAGCAAGTCGAGACACGAACCTCCTGCAAGATACTCCATGACTGTGATTTGGCGAAAACATCAGGATGACGAGGTAGGCAAGAAAGGTCAGATTGCAAGCAGAGGAATGATTATGCATAGAGTCGCGAAGTCAAACGAGAGTCACACTCACCGATCCAGAGCTTGTATCCCTTCACGAAGCTTCCGTAGTACCTTGTGACCCATTCGCTATCACATTGAGCTAAGTGCGCGATTTCCATCTGAATTTCGGAAATGTCATCGTCCGAATCTTCCAGGTCGATTTGTTTGATAGCTACGATCTGTCTGGTCTCTTTGTGCATAGCCCGATACACTGTGCCAAAAGAGCCCGTTCCAAGCTTTTCCAGCAATTGGTACTGTTCAGAGAGAGCTGCGCCGCTCGCAGCTGGTTTGGCAGGACGAGAAAACGCCCTTGTGCCGTGCGCAGCCGTATTTGTGGTTCCTGAGGCTGCATTGGCCAGTGCGACCGCTGATGGAATCACGGATGGCGTGACGGCATCGTTGCTGACATTGTTGCTAGCTCGAGGCAGATCCTTGTGTGCACTGCTTCTTCGTGGACTCAACAGCGGTGAGCGAGTGATGTTGGGCTAATGGCGAAAGCATTCATGAGATCAGCAAAGCGAAGTGCGACGTACGAGCGAAGATTCAAGACGAGTCACTCACCATGACGACTGCGGACTTCGAAGTTGACTGGTTAGCAAGGCAGAGCAGTCAAAGCAAAGCGTCCGCACGTTCCAAAAGGGAGTTGCTTGACTTCACCAGGAGGGTGCGATTGTCAGTTCTACCCAAAGTCCTTCGCGCCCTATGTAGGTGGAGCAAAAATAGAGCAGATGGCCGGATCTGGGCCGGAATCGTGAAAGGTCGTGATGGGTCGTCGCGAGGATTGGCTCCGGGAAGCAACAGAGAGAAGACTCTCCAGGCTCGAATGGGTCGCTCGGCACTATTGTCGAGCACAAGTTGATGGAGTAGGGTCGAGAGGATACGATGGATTGGCAAGATGGAGCGGCGGGTCGTCAAAGGAGGCAATTTAGGGCCAAGTCGATGAGAAGTAGAGCAGTGTAATGGAGAGATGGAGCGATTGCGCAGCCGTAAGCAAAGTTGTGTCGATGGAGCTGAGAGTCACGAGTGATGATGGCTCTTGGTCGCAGGGCCGCCGATAGAGCGAACGCACAGCCTGGCTTGATTCAAGGGTCGAGGAAGAGCCGACGGCGGAAAAAGAACCGCGATCCCGACCTCGGGATCGATCGAGGAGGACGGGGAGCCGCGTGGCCAGCCACCACAGCGGGCCGCGCTGCCGCTTACAGCAGCCTCTGCGCCCAACGCGGTGCTGCTGCAAACTTGCCCGCGTTTCTGATGTATTCACGCGGTTGAAAGGGGCTCGTGCTGGTGTTGAGATTCGGCGGGCGACGACCTGAAAGGACGGGCACGACAACACGCGTTACGCGCGTGCTGCTGCTGCAGCATGCATGCGTGTCTTCATGCGGGCAGTAGTATCACCAGCGTCGCTGCAGTAGTATCACCAGCGTCGCTATAGCGACGCTGGTGATGTGCCCACACCACGCTCCTAACCGGCCAACCGGATGACGCACAAGAAGGTGATGTGCGCGAGACCCCTAAACTCACGAGTCACGACTGGAGCAACGCACGCTAAGAGGCTCATGCGAAGGGCGGGCAAAAGTCAACTCATCCCATCCCACCAGTCTGAGTTGGCATGCAGCGCGAGTCGTGAGTCATGCATGCAGTCACGACTCACGTCACGAGTCATTCGGTCGCGGACGGAGTTACCAGCTTTTTTGTAGACAGCAGAGCCAAGTCAACTAACTGGCAGCCACTCGATGGCGATTCTCGATGAACATTCAAGATTTACCCACAATCCTCGATCTCCATGCGCTTCACGTACGTTTGACGAGGGCGTTGCACGCTCGCACTTGCTCCCATTCCCACGGCTGGCTTGTCACACACATCCTGGCGTGAAGGAGAGAGACATCCGCGCTTCTGTACCTTCATCCACGAGTCACGCGTGTACTGAGACCTAAGCAACAACAGCCACGGTCAAGAGGGAGAAGATGTCCGAGGGCTGGAATCAATCATTCACTTTGCCTCGCGTGTCTAGCCTCTTGACGGTGGGCCTTTGGCCTGCAACTCTACCGCTCGGGCTCGTGTGTGGTGCGTACAATCTGGGCCCTGGTCTTACCATAAAAGGCAAGAATATCAGCCCTTTGCAGGCCCGCCTTGTGCTCCTCCGCATCGTACTTCATCCGCCTCACGCTTCTTGGCGCTGATGATCAATGTCAAGCTTGCCCGACGGATGGCCGAATGCCTCTCTTTACGCGACACTCCAACATTCCCTCATCTTGCGTGCCAAATGATGACGGTCGGCGGTGACCTTCAAGAGCGTCTGATGTCGGGGAAACACTCGTGACTCAAGCGGCAGGCCAATTTGCTTCATAGCCGGCGATCGGTGCCGCTACAATACGCAAAGCCTCTGTATCAGACTCGAACTTGACTCTCACTTCTCCTGCTAAACTCAAGATAGACGAGCTTTTGAAATCCCGCAATGAAGCGAATGCGGGACACTCGCTCGGCAAACATCTACAAGTCACGCGCGTTTGAGTTCTGATCCAGGGACCAGCCACAAGACAAGTGACGCACCTCGAGTTTCACCTTTGTGGCGCATTTTACAATTCTAACTGACGGCAAACGCATTCAATTGTTGATTTTGACACCCCTCTCCTTTGTGGGATCCGTCAAAAGATTGCGTCAGGCCCAGAAAGGATGCTGACGAGCCACGCAAACAAAGCCAATTTGAATCTTGAATGCCGGACTCGACGAGACCACGTGACTTTGCGCTCCGCTTTTGTCCGTGCGCCGTGGCGGTGCAAGACAAAGAGCGCTCGCTGCGCACCAGGCAGGCGCGGGACCCTGCACAGCAACATCAGCGCGCGTGCCCTTGATTCCCGCTTCTTTCACCATGATTCGTGATTGTGATTGATCGACAGCTGAGCGACAGAAAGCGGTTCGATCGCAATCCAATCGAGTCTCAGCAGCAAAGTTCAAGATTGAGCTCTCGATACAGACAACGCCACCTTTGCCTCATCTTCTTCGTCCTCTACACACCTCGCCGCTCATTCACAGCAACATCTGGGCACAGAAGCAGTCTTTGGAGATAGCGTCGTGGGCAGTCCTGTTCTCGCCACCCAAAGGATCTCGACTAACGACTCGACCCCCTCAACTCCAAGCTTCGCCCAGCATGCCACATGTGCAGGTCATCAACGAGACGCAGCTACCCCTGCACATATCGCTTCGGCAGATCTCGCCACTGCATTACCAGAATAGCGTGCTTCCTGGCGACACGGCTGATTTCCATTGTGGTCGGGTATGGTTCACCATCGAAGCGCGGATAGATAGGGGAGGAGACAATGATGGTAGTTACAGCAAGTTTGAGACTTTTGCCGCTCCTGTCGCCGTGACGTTGACGGTGCTAAGTCTGGGTGCTGGCGCGGTGTACGTGGCGGCAGCAGGAGGAGCAACTGCTGCATTTGCCAGCGTAAGCGCAAGGGTGGGAGCTGCTGCCGCTTCCCACGCTCCCACTGCCAGAAGACTGTACAAGTACGCCAGGAAAGGTCAGCGCGTGGTGCAGATAGGTCAGGTCTTGGGCATCGGCGGTGGCGCGATCGCCGGAAAGAGGCTGGCAGAAAAGGAGACTCCTTCAGCAGGGCAGGAAGGCCGACAGCAGCCTCACACGGGCGTATCGAGCAAAGTGCAGGATGACGGAGAACACAAAAGTCAAGGGCTGCTGGGAGGACTGCTGGACTGGGACGAGAAGAAACGAGTCAAGGAAGCTAAAAAGGTCCTCAAGGGCCTGCTCGAGGGAAGCGTCGTCAGGTGAGCTCAGAGGAGACGTGCTCGGGATCACTTGGCATCGAAGCGCACTGATACGCTGCATTGTGCTCCCGCAGCTCTGCGGGCTGGTACATGGGCGGCGATCGAGTAATCCGCATCAAAGGCGGTCCTCGTGCAACCCAGTTAGAAGACATCTTGGTCATTGAAACCGACACGCTCGAGGATTTTGTCGTGGCAGGCGATGAGCCACCCGCATCCTCCGTCCACGAAGAGAATGGCCTGACTCAGTCCAAGGGATGGTTCGGATCGTTCCGCAAGCAGAAGCAGGACAAAGGAGTGGAAGGGGCCGCAGGTGCAGAGAAGTCAGCTTGCAGTATGACGCAGCAGGATACCAAAGATGCTGTCGCGTCACAAAGCGATCAGAGGGCGGGCGTGGAGACTGAGCCACAGCTTGTGGAGGCTATGGAGGCCACTTCTCTACAGTCGCCGTCGAGTTCTCATGCGCCTTCTTCGACCAGCAGTCGAGCCAGCGCTGAATCTTTGTTCGCCAGAGTGAAGCGTTCTAGAGCCGAGCGAGCTGACCGCATAGCCACGCTGGCAGCGAAACCTGCGGCAGGAGGACCCAAACAGGAATTGCAGAGGAGCAGCAAAACGACTGCAGATGCGGAAAAGGAAGCCGAAGAGAGTGCTGATGAGGTGGTGGGTGAGGACTTTGCGCCAGCTCGAGTTGTGCCCAGTCCGCTGCCACCGCCTGACGACGACGAGAGCAATCCGCCAACGACGGAGCGAGTCTTGAAAGAGATGGGATTTACTGAAGAGCAAGTGCAGCGTGCCATCAAAGCGACTGGCCGGCCTGAGGATGCCGGACTAGCGGAGAAAGAAGCAGACGCTGCGCGAAAAGGAGATGCGGATGGAGCAGAGCGGGCCAAGGTGGAAAGAGAAGCTGCTACAGAAGCTGCACTGCTGTGGCTCTTTGAGAATGCGGACAGGCAAGTGCCTTACGTGGAAGAAGGCAAAGCTGCTATGGGGCAGCTTGCACCCTCTGTCGCCAGTGGTAGTAGACCTACAACAGCAGGATCTGCGCATCCAAGCATCTCTGCACCAGTGCGAGATGTAGCGACGCCTCCGTCGGAAGCGGTGACCACGCCTTCGCTCGGCATTGCGCGAACAGACCAGCCTGAAACCACACCTGGATCGAGTTCAGCAGCGACGAGCGCCACGTCCAAGTCCAAGCCCCAGGTGGTGGGAGCGGACGCAGTCACCACGCCGCACTGGACCACAAAGATGACCAAGCTGGCGGAGAGCTCTGGCGCTTCAAAGCTGATCAGAGAAGGTGCGGACATCTTGACAAAGAAGAGCCATCAGTGGCTTGCTGCCGAAGATTCGGCTAAAACAACCGCGAATGCTATCGAAGTTGCCAAGCCTCCTGCAAAGAGCTCAACGACAACATCAGCCAAGAAGTAGACAAGCGCTCAGACGTATGCCGAGCCGACCCGTACGCTCCCCTCTACATGCCCCGCTGCTGTCTGCTTATCGAGATCTCACATCAGAGCATTTCTGTCAACAACACAAGTTTGTCCCTACCCCTCCACTATACCATGTTCGGGGTTGCATGCGAGTAATACAATGGTCCACTTTGCAGACATGGTCAAGGTTGTCAAGCCGCCAATCGTTCTCGCAAAATGTGAATCTCGCTTTTGCCTAGCTGCTGGTGCTGCTCTTTTCACGAGGGCGGGTCGGATGGACGTTAGATCTCTCATGCACCGTGGTGCCTCGCAGTCCGAGTGGCCGAACATCAGTCGCGGTGCTGCAAGTGTCAAGCAGACATGTAATCCCAGTAATGTAGGCAAGATATCTCGATTGAGGTCATGAAAAGCACGTCAAAGATGGGGTTTGTAGTCAAGAGTAGCCGAGAGTGATGGAAACCACGTGGGATTAGAATCTTGAATGATTTGAGCCTCACGATTGACCCGCGGCGCGTTCGCCGGCAGGTCGTGTCGAGGCTTTGGCGTGGCAGAGGCGGTATGACGCAAATGCCTCCACAGCCACATCACCCCTGCAGCTGCACACGTACAGTACTACTGTATGTGCAGGTTGGCATCCTCATGCCGAGCCCTCAGCAGGGCCGGACTATGATGCGGCAGCCACCGATCGAGAGGCGCGGAGGCACAAGCACTCACACTGCACGCGAGTCGCGCCACGCACTCATTCAACCTGCAGCACAGCAGCAGTCTCGAGCGGTGAGTGTCAACAAGGCACCAGCACATCGTCGCAGCTATTACTCGTGACTATAATGTACTTTGACTGTGTAGCTTGGCGAAGCACTCACACTTGTCAAGCAAAGCTTCCTCGCACTTCCGGCGCACTTCGCAACCTTCAATCGGCCACGGCGCTGCATGTATGCACCGAGATTCCGTTGCCTGACCAAAGAAATAATCGCATCCACGGTTCGCGACTGATCGTGAGCGACGCGTTCGTGATTCGCCTTGATCCACCGCCGCCACACTTTGACTCGACCTTGTCAACCACGACATCCATAGCCGTCCTGCCTCATCATCAGTCTCGGACCCAGTTTGACCTGTCGGACTTATCGCATCGCACTCGAGCATCGAATCGAAGAACGAAAGAAGCTACTCCCGGCAGACTCATCTAGGGACATACGACTGGGTGTCTCCAACACGCTCTGGTCATTCATTGACAACCAGTCGTCAATCCCAACATGTCGCTGCTTCGAAGAGCGCAGCAGCAGATCGCGCACACATCCACGCTACCTGCTTTGGGCAACAAGGATTTGAGGTCATTGCAGGATGTTATCACCAACGAAAAGGAATTTATCAAGTCTGGTGCTCGTGCAGGCAATGACTGGCAGCGAAGTGCGGAATCGCTGAAGTCGTGGGGAGAGTCGGAAGGCGAGGATCTGGCAGTGAGTGCTTCGCGCGTCGGACTGTGCTTGCCGAAGACTTGCTGAGCGACGCAATTGTCGCTCAACCACTTTTGCGCATCCGCAAACGTTTAGGACATTACACATAAGCTCTGCTCATTGATGGCGCACTACAATTCTGCCAACACTCGCTTTGCCTCTCATCTCGCCACCACACGTTTGCACTTCAAAGCTATTCGCACTCGCGAGGAAACGCTGGCCCAGCTCAAAAACTCGAAAGCGCGATTGGCTTCGAGAATCGAAGGTCTGGAGAAGAAACTGGCAAAGATGGGACCCGAGAACAAGGAGCTTATGAAGACGACGACAGATCTGAAAGATCGAAGAAACGAGATGGAGGTGATGAGCAGAGAGCTGTTGGAAGAGGAAGCCAACATAGGTGATTTTAAGAGAAAGACGGTCAAGGAGGCTAGCGGTCTCAAGCTTGGAGGTCTGCTCGAGTTTGCCGAGAAAATCACTGTGAGTAGTAGCGCCAAGAGCCGTCCCAACTGGCTCGGCTTAGCATGAGCTCATGCCCAACGATACTCGCCACTCAGATCATTGCCGAGGTGGGCAAACTGATGATCGAGCAGATTCCGCTCGAAACGACTACACCTGGACAGCAGCGTGCCCCCTACTATGGACATGCAAAGACTGAACAGCTGCTCTCCGAAGCCACGCAATTAATCGCAGATGTCGGATTTGCACCTGGCCCCTCGGGCGGCCGACCGCCTCGCGGCAGTCATCTGCCCGATGATAGCTTGGACGCAGGCAATCCATACAACGGTCAGGACAATGCAGACGTTGACCTGGCTAGAGAGGACAGTGAGACGGCGGACACAAACCCGTACATTACAGGTGCTCAGCTCAACGGCACCCCAATCTACGCAGCACATGCTACACTACCGCCATCCGGTGCCGATGCAGCGCATTGGAGTTCCGCGGACGCTCGGAACCAAGCGGAAGATCAGCATCAATCGGGCAACAACTTTGACAATTCTCACTTGCAAGCTGATGCGCAGAATGTTTGGACTGAGGAGCGCATTCAGACGCCTGTCGACGAGCGCGTGGGTCGTTGGCAACAGGATAACGTAGCTCGTCCCAACGGCTCTGCTGCAGGCAGCAGGCAGAACAGTACTCATGATGTCAGAGCCAGTGCAGCGTACGGAGGAATCAGCTACGGCGCCGACGAGGATGGGCCTGGAGATACACAGCCTTCTGGCCCCAGACTAGGATTGCACGATCCGAGCGGAGCTCCTACCTCCTACTACAGTCAGAGCGCTGCAGCCCCGGAAGCGTCGACTGGACCCAGGTTGGGTATGCATGATCCGGAATCAACGTACTACAGTCATGCCCCGACCATCGCGCCGCCACGCATCTCCACTCCTGCAAACGGCTCTGCTCACAGCCACAATCCGCCTACAAGCAGCTATGCTGCTGCGCCGAGCTCGCCCGGGGCGAACCGGCAGTCAGCGACGCTCGCGTCCTTGAGCGCTGCAGCAGCGTCTTCGTCGGACTTTCAGCCTCCGTCCTTGCCCCCTGTGCGGACCTCTTCACCGTTCCGCTCCGGAGGGTACGAAGCGCCCGAAGGAGGCAGAAAGGTCAGCGCAGCGGCTTTCAGAAAAGGCTTCAATCGCAACCCTTCTTCAAGCAACGTGGCTGCAATGGGCATTGGATCTGGGGCTGCTGCGCATGGTGATCAGGGCACCTATGGTGGTCAGGTGTCTAGCCCTGCCGTTGGGAACGAGGAAGGTGCTGAAGGTACCACTGCACCGCTATCCATTCGCAGGAGGATGAGTTCGGGCCTAGGTCTGAACGTCACCGACCCCGTTCCGCCTTACGCGGATCAGTCTCACAACGGACCAGCCGGCTCAAATGCACACCTGGCATGAGCTAGTCTGTCCAAGGCCATTGGCTCGCTGCCGTGCTTGCGACGAAGATGCACTGGCATCAACCCTCTGCTTCATACCCTCTCCGACCTTTCTACTGTCCCTGGACTTCCTGCTTGTCGCCTCTTGTGACCTGCTCTGCGCGCCTGTCTTCAAAAAGATTCTGCAACTGAGACTTCGACACACAAATGATATCCGTTTGGACCAGCGCTACGTTCCGCTATTTCGCCTCTCTGAGCGACGTACTTCGAATTGTGCCAGACTTTGCAGACCTTCTTCACGGTTCAAGACAATTTGATTTCGGGCCTTTGAGTCTTTGAACGGTCGTTTGTCAAGGCGACTTGTCGTTTGGTAGTCGATGATTGCGTAGCGCGGCTCGTGGAGAGGTAAGGGGAGGAGGAAGACTACAAGTTCGACTACGAGTGCGCACCATATCTTGACTCCTTTCGTTTCTTCTGCGGAAAGGGCTTAGACTCTCCTTCGCGCTCTGCTTCTAAAAGGATTCGATCAACTTCAGCGTGGTACGGCTCGACGACATCTTCTTCGAGCGCGAGGGCCGTGTCTGTATGCAGTTTTTGCTTTTGCCACCCCCAGTCGTCGAAGGCGGTCCGACCATGCTTTGTGATGCTGAAGTTCTCAATTCCGGCAGGCGAGGGCATCAGCTTTGACAAGCCTGGGTGATTGGCTCGATGTAAACCGAGAGTGGTAATTTGGTAGGACTTCTGCTTCTGTCGCTTCGCTGCGGCGCTGGGGTATGATGCCAGGCGGATAGCAGTAGTGCCTGGAAGGCTTGTCCCGACGTTCAGGAGTAGGGAGACTGGAGGACTGCACATCTTGTTCAACAGCTCCGGCGGCGTCATGGGGAGTAAGACAGGCCTCTGCTGCGATTTCACTTGCACTTCGACAAATGTGAAGCATTCAGTTGCCCAAAGTGTTCTCACGTCATCGCCGATTTTGACCGGGCTTGCATTGCCCATGACAGCAGCCGCCATGTGAGATACTAGCGGCTCGCACATCGTGTAAGTTACTACTGCGTCTCCTGCTTCGGTCGCGTCGCATAGTACGCGGAGATGCCGATCTACTTGCCTCTTCTGTTCCTCCGCGCTTGCGGTGGCGTGCCGATGGTACAAGCTATCCAGCTCGGACCCGTTGTCCAGTTCAATCCGTTGACTCAGCAGGGCGAACAGTCTTCCCTTGTCGAGGTTGGATCGTGAAAGATCAGGGGCACGCAAACTTAGCCGCAGCAGCTTCCCAAGTATAAAAGCTAAGCCGATTCCGCAGAGTTCGAGGCGCGCGCCTGCCTGTATCGGATGAAGAGGGTTTTCGTACTCCACCAGTGATTTCCACAATGGTCTTCCCCACAATGCTAAGATGTGGGGTCGGCTCGCTGCATAAGGAGAGGCCCGCATGATCTGCGCATACTCTGTGGGATGATTAGCCAACCAGACATTGGTGACACAGTGCATGTACGGCGGAAAATGTTTTAGTTGCCCGCGCGAGATACGGGAAGATGAAGCTTCGTTCACCGCTGGGTTGAGCGCAGAAAAGCTAGCATTGGTGCCAAGCATTATGAGCCAAAAGCGAGGTGGAAGCTCGATATTTTCGTCGGGGCAAAAGAGAGCGCGCAGATCCTCAACCCATGCAAATTGGTTCGTCGTGCCGGCTGGCTCCCGCGGAACACCTGACCAGCTGGCATTAGCTAGTTCGTCCAAACAGATGTGGAACCAAATCTGAGCGTCGTAAGTTTGTGCCAATAACTTTCGCAACTCCTCGGCGTCCACAGAGAGCAAGTTGCGCTGACCCGCCAGAAGATCAGCGGCGGTGTTACACTTTCTCGCAAGCTCGAGGACGCTTGACCAAAGATCCTGAGCCTGTACTTCTGTCTGATTATAGAGGTGGACAAACTGGTGTGCTTCATGGCGCGAGCCGGCGGGCACCTCTGTAGGAGCTGCGGAACGCTTCTTCCACTCCTGCGCAAGCGTTTCGTTGCTCTGGCGGCCTTCGATTTTTCTCACTTCTTCAGCACTCGCTCGATAGATGGCTCTGAAGAGCGTGATCCAGCGAATATTGTAGAGAATTGGAAGCATCGAGCGCGTCCGCAAGTCTGGCGGCACACTGTCATCGAAGAGGTCCTCGGATACCCACTTGTAGAATCTCCAGTCGCCGTAGGGAAAGCCATCCTCGTCTTTACGACGAAAGCACAGGTAAAAGGTCAGATGAACGGCTACCCCTTCCGGCCTGAAGAAAGGATGACCATTCAGTTGCTGAACGAGTCGAGACTTGCCGGTGCCGCTGCTTTGCACGATGGCAAGAGACCGCGAATGATAAAATTTCGATGTTGTATTGTGCACCCCCTGCCCTTCGCTAGGTTGGTTCAGTTGCTCCGTCGACATCTTCTCCACTGCGGATTTTCGTCCTGGGGTGAATTGGCGCTCATAGCCTTCTAGCACGTCAGCGAAGGTGGCGTCGTGGTCGCCCAGAAAGCTTTGGTCGTAGAATTCCCGCTGAAGCTTGTTATAATCTAGCTCTAGCATTTTTGAATTGATGGCTGGATTGCTCTCCGGCAGCGTACAGAGCGAGTTCAGCACGTGCCATCTTATGCAATCCCAATCCTCCAAGCGGTCATTGCGCCTTTTGAGCCATTGAGCATCTGTCGTCTTTATGCGCCAATGAATACCTTGAATCTCTCTGCCATCAGCGCGCATCAGTCGACGAACTGAGTCGGGCTCTCCTTCCTCGATGCCATGTGTATGAATCATACTGAGAATCATCATCGCAGAGGCTTCGAATACGATCCAGTATGGGTGACCGGGCCCATCACAGCTTCTCCAATGTGTGATGAGCCCGTCAAAAAGCGCGCTGATACCTTTCTTCTGGAAGAAAGTCTCCAGCCAGGCCTCCGCTTCTCGACGGCGTGCTGCGCCCGGGCTTTCCGGCTTTAAAGCTGACCCTGTGGGTGGAGAGGTCGGTACGGTGGTGTCTGTATCCATCTCCATCGCGCGTCCTAGCGACCAATGCTGCGGCTTGTATCGTTGATCTCTCTGACACCAAGAAAGGGAGGACAGAGGTCTGGAACGTCTTACCCTACCACAGTGTGGGTCGAGTAAAAGTTGCTCTGGTTGTCAGAGGTTGTAGCTGCTGGGACACCGCGCAACAGCTCGCAGTCTCACCTATTGAGAGTGGCTGTCGTGTGCAGTCACGACGAGTGAGTAATTAGGTGACTGCCTTGATCAGCAGGGCTAGGAGAAAGAAGTGTTGACTAATGGCGCTTGGCTAGCCCGCGCGCACGGATGGCTGGTGGTCTGCGGTGCTAGCGCTGGATTGCGAGAGCAGGGCGACACGTGCACTGCTTTGCGATGGTACGCGGCCTCTGAGCCCAACGTCAATCACCCCCGGATCGTGAACAATGAGCGATACTTCTGTGGGGTCTGGACCACGCTCAAAATGCGCGCCCCATGGATGACATTCGCCATGCCTATGGCGATGAATCTGCTGCTTGCTGATGAGCTAGGGCCGCGGTGGCTTGGTACAACGGGGTGCGTGTAGGTACGCGAATCAGAGTCTTTGCGTGTGGCGAGCCGAGCCGAGTCAAGAGTCAAGTCACAAGTCGCAAGATTGTCAGCCAAGTGGGGTCGAGAGGTAGGTAGGTAGGTGCATGGTTGCGAAGCGCGTTCAAATGCTACACTACTACTATTATTACTACCACTACTCGTGATTCAAGGCAGATTAATCAACAACGATGCTGAGATCACGTGACACGGCGCGACATTTTTGGCTGAAGTCTAACCATCAGGAATCAAGAATTTGAATTTGAATCAAAGGCATTTTGATTTGAGCTAGATGAGTACTGTAGCACTTGATGAATGATGCATGCTGGCGCTTAGCGTGACCGCTGAAGGGTAAGTACAGAGCCCCTCAAGACTCACCTCTTGACTGCGCCATGTACTCAAGACTCGCGACTATTTACGACTGACCATATACTCAAAACTGTGACTCGTGACTGTCAAGACTCAAGACTGTCAAGAGTCATCATCAGGTGCACGATAGTCACCAGTCAAGAGCTGCTGTTGTTGACTCAAAACTTTCGCGTGCGGATCTTGATCGATCGGTCTTGGCATGCGAGGAGCTGCACGCCAAAGCGCGGGGCGTTCTGAGCGGAGCTATAGCATCTCCATCAAAAATCTCAAACGAGATGGACCAGCAATTACTATCTGGAATACAAGCAAGTCGTTTCTTTACTCGATCAAGACTGCACATCTCACCTAGCTGATGCATATATATACCGGTACAGGCGCCACTTGGCCATGCTGCATGCATGCAGGTGCTCTTCTTCTTCTCACACGGTGTACCGCGGTGGGTGCATCGTGTGAGAAGCATCTCCGTGCAGTCATCATGCAATACTTGACGAATGACTTTGTCTTTGCACCTTGCACGACGAGACATGCTGGACACAGCTATAGCGCTGCTGGCCATATCGCGGCCTGAGTCACCAGCAGTGCAGCAGAGACGAACAGCGCTGCGTGTTCCACCGCCGGTCAGGATCACCCATCGTCTCAGGCAGCCTGCTTCTTTCGATTATAGCACGAAGTGACACGAAGTGAGTGTGCTATCTCAACACGTGCGCTGCGCTGCGCGGCCTGCTCTGCAATCAACAATCACAATGTCGCTATTATACCCTGATGGTGGTGATCTCTGATGTGCGATGTGTCGGTGCCTGTGGGTAGGTACGCGGATGTATGCCGCACACTACCCGCGCTAGACGCGCTACTTGCATGCTGCATAAGCTATCTGTACAAGCTGCGAAACGCCGCCCACGTCGATCTCGCGCCGTGACTTGTCGGCCAGCCCGCTGCATGTTGTGTACAAGTGTGCTGTAGATTGCCGTGTGCGCCCAACCGCTTGCATTTTTGAGACCCACGCTGCGGCATCAGACCAGCGGCAATCAAGCCAAATGAACGCAGCGCGTTTTTACGCGCCCAGGCCAGCATGTGTGGGATAGGCATGCACTGTCAAAGTGCCTGCCTGCCTGCGTGGTAAAGATGGCGTACTGTCGCGGGCACGCCTCATCTGACGTGCAAATCGTCAACGGCGGCTAGTCACCAGTCAGAGTATAGTTAGTCCTGAGTATAGTGGACTCAATCCACTCCTGACACTCATTTCCGCCCATCACTCTCCTCCATCTACAATATTCACCCTTGTCAGAGAGCTTGACGGTGAACAATCCCCAACATCGAGCATCGCAGCGACGACGACCTGTGCAGACTCGCGACACGACTCGCTCTCACTCTTCAAGCTTCACTGACCGCTTCCGACCCAGAGTCTTGCCTCGACGCTGTCCTCGGAACCCTCACCCACGTTCATTCTTACGTTTTCTACGCTGGAGCCTATCTCGTCACTCTTTCTTGGGAATTATTGCGAGATCAACAGCCCTAATTCTGTTCCGAAATCGACACACATCCCACACTCACGCTCAATATGCTGGCAACTCTTCGCGTCACCCTGCTCGCCGTAGTTGCGGCCGGTATGGCCTTGGCCATGCCCATCACACCAACTCAAGCAGACGCAGTCTCGACATCGTCTTCGCAAGTCAGCTGCAAGCCCCTCGCAGCAGGCCAGTGGACTCTTCGCCTGGAGCGTCAACAGCTGCAAGGACTCTGGTTGAGCCCCATGAAGCAGAACGGAGCCAGGCTCGCTGCAGTGACTAGAGTTGGAAAGGATGGCCAGAAATTGACTTTCAGCTCTTGCGAGAGCAAGTACATGGGCTTGCAGAACTCAAAATCCGCAGAGGGCGACTTTTACGGTCAGCTGAAGACCGAGCGCGGCACCTGCCTGACGCGCACCAAGTCCACCAGTGAGTGATTCATTACCCGCTCCACGTCTTGGGCGGAGGATATAGGCGTAGTAGGGATGCCATGGGTCTTGGAATGGGCACGGCAACCCACCATCAGCTCTCGACAGTGACGTCCAAGATGGTGTGCAGCCTGCGTGAGGTATTCTGTCCCCTGACCCTCCACCTCTCCCCCCTTCCCTTCACGCCAGCAGAGAACGCCGCTCAGTGGAACTTTGTCGCCAAGCCTTGCCCTGTCTCCGACGATGCCGAGATTGAGAACACATTCTGGCGCTTGACCAAGAGCGCCAAGAACGGACTGAGTGAGTGGGCGTTGTCTGGAGGAAAGGGGATAAGGATGCCTTGCTCGCACGAGGTGTCACATCGCAGCTCGCACTCATCGTGGCCGTATCTGTCCCTGCCTGCCTCATCAGCCTACGACAACACCAACTATGTCATTTCTCCAGCCTCCGAGAGCAACGGCAAGAAGAAGTTCGGTTTCAACTTCCGCGCAAAGACCGGCGTACTGTTTGCTGGAGAGCCGAAGCCCGAGACCAGCGATCTGATTCTCTACAGGTCTCAGAACCTCTGATGGACTCGAGCTGCATAGCTATATGCCATCTGCTTTGGCGGCACCTGTACTCACGCAGCTTTGACTGCGCCCTCTTTGCACCTCTCGATCCTTCACCGGCCAACGTGCGATTGCGCAGCGCGCATCATCCGATGGCCAGGCTTTGCACATCTCTCTCTCTCTCTCTCTCTCTCTCTCTCTCTCTCTCTC